CAGCACCCCCCACCCCCCCACCAAAACCAAAAGTTTATTGCAGATTCGGGGTCCTCTCGCTGAGCGCAGAACGACCCCGGTTTCAAAAAATATATATATATACAGGGTCACCAGCCCGTACGTATGGAGGTCCCTGGGCAGACATCCGTACGTACGGGTGTTCGGGGTCCCGTACGGGGTCCGAACCTGACGGCGTTCGGCCCCCGCCGAAAATTATTTTGGGGCCTAAACATAACTTTTTTTGTATGAGTCTTTTTTTGTGAGTTCTCTATGACGTCAGGTACATGCCTATAAATTTTCAAGTCATTTAGCTCAGCCAAATAAGAATTAAAAATCGCCAAAGATGGCGGTGTCAAAACGTGCTCGCCCACGTTGTTTTTCACTTTTTACTTATTGTTTTCACTTTAGTTCGGGGTCTAAACAATTTTATTATTTAAAAAAAAAAAATAGCGGGTGTTGCATTATGTAAAGTACACATTTGGTAAATTTTCAGGGCATTTAGCTTTGCCAAAAAAAATGAAAAATCGCCAAAGATGGAGGTGTCGAAAACGTGCTCGTGCACGCACTAAATTTAATTCTTTTTTTGTTTTTGTTATTTTTATTATTAGTATTTGTTTTTCGTATTTTATTTTTATTTCAAATTTGGTAAGGAGTTTGGATGTTATGCTCAGGCAAATCTTGTTTAATTTATTTTTCTTCATAACATATCTTTTTTTCAGATTTTTTTGATTTTTTAAATATATATATATATATATTTTTTGGGTCCGCGTTCGGCCCGAACGGCCGAACGCATCCCCAAGTGGTCTCATATGTTCGGGCGTTCGGGTTCGGGCGTTCGGCCCATCCCGAACGCTGGTTACCCTGTATATGTATATATTTCTGGGCGTTTTTTTGTCCCGCCCGGTTTACCCGGGCGGCCCCCCCGGCCCCAACCGGCTGGGCCTAGCCCGGCCGGGCGGCGTCCTTACTCAGATTAAATTCTAAATATGTTCGAATTACAAAAATTCCGAAAAACAATTAATTAAAATGATTTTTGAAGTTCGAGGAAGAAATACGTAATTTCAAAAATTCAAAAAAGAATTAATTAGAAATGTTTTCAAAAAAGAAATGTCAAGAAAGAATGATTAGTCCTAAAGTATTTCCAAATTACAAAAAAAAATAAAAATAAAAAATGAATTAAGAAAAAGTTATTTCCGAGAACAAAAGAATTGAAAAAAAAATAATTATTTTTGAATTTCAAAGAAATGTCAACGAAGAATTAATTAATTCTATCGTATTTTCGGATTACGAAAAAGGAAGGAGTTTAATTAAATCTGAAATATTTTTGGATTACAGAAAATTTGAAGAACAATTAATTAAACTTATTTTCGAATTTCAAGGAAGAAAAGCTGAGAAAGAATAATTAATTCTACTTATTTTTGAAAATTTCAAAAAAGAAAATGTTTTGGAAAAAGAAATGTCGATAATTAATTAAGCATTTCGAATTTACAAGAATTTCAGATGAATTCTAAAAATAATAAAAATAAAGGAGTAAATGAGTTTTGAAGTAAATCGAGGGCGGAACGATCCTATCTACGATTGATTGGGTGGTAGCGTGGTAGGTAGGGTTAAAAAG